AATGGACGCTGATGACGATGTGTGGAGCCACCTTAACCGAATTCTTATGAAATGTCATATAGTCTAAAAAATCTATTTGAAGAGAAGCAATGCAACCATTATGTTTACTTGTCTGGATTTCTCATTTCTTATTTGCTTCAATATGCTACGAACAATTTAAGAACATTATTTAAGTTGACACGCGATGAAATTGCATTCCTGGTGTGAGCACGTTTAAAGGCTGGCCTTAACTGTCATCTAGATCAACACGTTTAAAACTTCTTTTATTATTGTATTACATTGTTCGCGATCTTTTCTCTATTTGTTCTGATGGCCACTCAATTCCTATTCTAATATTTTCATGGCATCTCTAAGTCTGTAAAATTTTCTTTGAGTTTTGGCATTCTGCTACGTTTTGTCCATTTCACATAACCTGTTGCTAGAAAGACATGCCAATCAGCGCTGGTACTTGTGTATTGTCTCGAGAGAACACCAATGTCATCCTAGAAAGACATACCAATCAGCCCTTGTACTTGTGTATTGTCTCGAGAGAACACCAATGTCATCCTAGAAAGACATACCAATCAGCGCTGGTACTTGTGTATTGTCTCGAGAGAACACCATTGTCATCCTAGAAAGACATACCAATCAGCACTGGTACTTGTGTACTGTCTCGAGAGAACACCAATCAGCACTGGTACTTGTGTATTGTCTCGAGAGAACACCAGTGTCATCCTAGAAAGACATACCAATCAGCACTGGTACTTGTGTATTGTCTCGAGAGAACACCAATGTCGTCCTAGAAAGACATACCAATCAGCGCTGGTGCTTGTGTATTGTCTCGAGAGAACACCAATGTCATCCTAGAAAGACATGCCAATCAGCGCTGGTACTTGTGTATTGTCTCGAGAGAACACCATTGTCCTCCTAGAAAGACATACCAATCAGCACTGGTACTTGTGTATTGTCTCGAGAGAACACCAATGGCATCCTAGAAAGACATACCAATCAGCGCTGGTACTTGTGTATTGCCTCGAGAGAACACCATTGTCATCCTAGAAAGACATACCAACCAGCACTGGTACTTGTGTACTGTCTCGAGAGAACACCAATCAGCACTTGTACTTGTGTATTGTCTCGAGAGAACACTAATGTCATCCTAGAAAGACATACCAATCAGCGCTGGGACTTGTGTATTGTCTCGAGAGAACACCAATGTCATCCTAGAAAGACATGCCAATCAGCGCTGGTACTTGTGTATTGTCTCGAGAGAACACCAATGTCATCCTTTTCTCACGTCTTTATTCCTTGTTACATCCCTCTCCAGTTTCCATGATGAACGTCTTTGTTATTCGTGTCACATCAAAATCCGAATATTGGCGTGCTGAAATCAATTACAACAGTAATCCCGCCTGTACGAGGGCGGCGTGGTACGGCTCTTTGTAAATTGTATCTGATAGAATTCGGCATGCGAATTGCAAACAATGCAGTTTAAGGAAGCATTGCAGTTTTATTCGCCTGATTTTGTTATTTACAACGTCAATTGCATTAAACATAAGAACATCTCTACTTTCTTGCAAACGATGGACTTTGTGTTTATGTTATGCCGACTGCTTCCTGATAATCGACATTCGTTGATTGTTTATGAATAAAGATTAGTCCAGCCCAAATAAATAGTGATTTAATTAACAGTCGTAACATAATTTCATTCTGTAATGTATATATATATATTTATATCAACGTCTGTTTATTAATCATTTGATGGACTGAAATACATTCAATCTGAAGATTATTTTCACAATTCAAATTACACAAGCAGTCAGTTGTGGGGTACAAGTTTTCAAAAGCGTTGGCATACTGTTTCTTAACGTTTAAAACGCAAACTGCTATCTTGATTGATTGGTCAAAACGCGAGTTTGTTTTGCAAAAACGGTCAACATTACAGTGAGAATTGGTATTCAGCTTTAGTTTAGTCATAGTGAAAGCACAAAGCGTTTCAAAACATTGATCCCAAAAAAAGTACTTCAGTAGTAATCATATAAAACTCATGGACAGATTTATATACTCCTTATACAATCCCTCCAAACATGATAGCAGGCTAGCACAGCAACGATAGGGCAGTACTCCACGTGGTGTTACGAGGGTTAGGATGCACTGCAGATTAATTAATTATAAGCTTTGGGCGGTCTACAAATAGAGGCAGTGTAAGAGACTTAGGACAAGAAAAGCTATATTTGTCCGGGTTATGCGTTTTGTCTCGCATCCAGCGGACGTTAATTAAACCACGATAGAAATATCCTTATCAACTATCCGCCGGTGTGATTCATCTAGATAAACGAAGCAGATAGACTAAAGTACATTACACAATTACGGTGCAAAATACTAACACGAATTAAATACTCTGGCCTAAAGTCATTAGTTGTATCAACCAAAGGAATGGAACAGAATCCTGCATTATCTTTAAAAGACTATTCCGACAACTTCTTCATATGTAAAGAAAATGCTTATGTCTCAAACGACTTTTTGGATAAGGTATATTCACCCTACTTCTCTTTTGTTATATAATCTGTTACCGCTCTGGTTAAATGTTGCAAAATATTTAAATATCATCACTCACGCATTTAGCTGCTTTCAGTTAACATTCATAGGAAATATGAATGCCAACTGGACACAAGGCAAACTCAATGAAGCGCGCTTTATAACCCCACCATATAGCGGCAATGTCCCACGATGGCAAATCTAAGTAGATACCAGATACATATACGACCGTGTTGTTATCACTATGGTATAAAATATATACTAGATACTTTCATAACTATAATGTTTGCCGCTAGATAACATTAAATGATCTCGCTTATTAACCGACGGAAATTTCTTTTATGCCATTTTGTCCATTGATAATAATAATGCACGAGTTTTCTCTGGTAAAAATGAACAAAAAGATTTCGAACAAACCATAATTCAAACCAAAGATTTATGACAGTGTTTTAAAATAGGGTATGGGGTTCTTCAATAACTCAATGATACATGTGTATTATCTTCTACTCCATAGTTGCTTAGTTAAGATGTATTATCTGTTTACACTAGTAAGACTGACTTGACTGGCTGGTTATTGCTGTGATCACAGATGTCTGGCTGATCCCCATTCTCCCGTCTCAAAGCGGGTTTTGGGCAGATCACAAATCAACTGGAACAGCTCTCGTTAATAAAACTGGGAACTATATATGGGAACAAAGGGATTAACTTAACTATTTTAACAATTTTTGTTGCCTTCCTTGTTTTTCTTGTCCCTCTCTTTGTTACTACTCTTTTCTTTCCCTTCTTCTTCAAAAACAGTACAATGGTACATACCACTTGATATCATGGTTTCAATCATAAACTGTTTTCGTTTGTATTCTCTTTTCGTTCTTTTTTTTTCTCAACCACAACGCATATATTATATTCAATGCGTCTTGGTTCAAACTTATATAGAGTCAGGAGGCATATGAAAATAATTGTGTGTCTAAATTGGTATCTCATTTGATCTAATATTTATGAGAATGTTAAAAAATTTCAAAGCAAACAAACAAACAAAATGTATGAAAATTGAGAATGTGAAATTGAAATATAATGTGTATGAATGATGTACTGTTCTGTTGAATAACTTATAAAAAATAAAATTAAACAAAATGTTGTCTGAATTTTTGTTTCCTGTTTACTACTTTATTTTCACTGACGAGTTTACTTCGCGGATTACTGACTTTAAAAATAAAATGCAAAAATAAAATGTACACGATCACCAAAATCACCATTGATATGGTAATAACAATACTTCTAGTTTCTTAGGTTAGTTATTGATACAACGGCATCATAGATAACTTGTATTGCTATGTGGTCAAAAATAAAGGACAAAATACCGCATCAAATCAAAAAGAAAGCAACCGAAACGGAAAGACTTCAAAACAAACCGAAGAACATTATACACCCTCCCAAAAAACCAAGAAGAGAAATAAGGATCCATATTCATAAAACCGTTCACGTGCTTAAATTAGAATTTCTGCTCAAGGCGATTAAGTTGTAACTTTTCAAAGTGATACATATTTCACATTTTTTTAAAAATATTTTTTAAGTTTTGAGAGATTGCTTTGATGACAAGTTTATATAGTTTGACTGTGTCGAATGACTTCAGCGAATTACATTCAGGTTTGATTGTGAGAAGAATATACAGTCTGTGATATTTAATTGTGGGACTATTATTAATGTTTGTATTCTTTACGTGTTGTATATATACATTAATGGGGGTCATATTGTAAATTAAACTCGTCTAAATTATGTCACCCTGGAAAAATAAAAGGTTTCATTATTATGATTATTTTAGAATTGGTGTATGAGCATAAGAAAATGTTCATGTAATCGGGTTCAGGTGTTCCAAAGAAGAAGTTTTCCTCACACCACAGTCTTTGTATATACTAGTTCCCATTACCGATAACATTGGAAGTTGTACATATGAAATTTCGAAAAATACATATGACAGCATTGGTTTTCATCTTTTTAATTTTTAATTTGTTACATATTACAAAAAATCTGCGGTAAAGCATACGTATCTGATGTTATATAAAGACCAATCAGTGATAAAGCCGACAACACAACTACGGGACATCGTAAAGATACGTGCTCAATCCCTTCATCCTACAATAGTTAGCTGGTTCCGAAAAGATTTGTTAGCTTCACCGAAACAAAACCCTTATGAACGACAGAAATGTTATAACTATTTCAAAAGATATAATATAAAAATATTTTTGTTTCCGTAAATCAACAAATCTGTTCCATGGAATAACTTGAGGTGGAATCTAAAGTTCTGATGAAGATAAATATTCTGACAATATTTAAACGTTGTTTTGTGAACGAGTAATATTAAGCTAACAATGCAGATGTGTCTTGTGTCCAAGAAGAAGGTTATGTGGACTACAAGTATTACCGGAGAATACTATCAGAATTCTCTACGTAACAGATTCATTACTAGCGTGGCGTGTGATGGGTGGTAATGAGGAATGCGCTGTAAAGGAGGAAACGAGATAGCATTCGAATGTAGATAATCCACTAATCCGCTAATCTCCGTTGACAAGTGTCTTTTGTGGGAGGTTCAAAGACGAACATCCGTATATATTCCGGAATTTTGTTACCGGCTTTGTAAAGTATGCCAGTAAATTAGGAAGACCAGTTGATAGAAAAGTGTCTACGAAAGGAACAGAAATTTTCGAACCGGAAAAATGGCATATATTAATGTAAGTAATCCATTTTTGACATACCATTTGTACTGTTGTATAAATTAGCCTAAGTCAAATTGTTTCAGTAATATATGGTTTCAGTTCATGAAACCTGAATCTGAGGTTAATCATGATTTTTTTTTATTTAAGATAATTACGGAACATTTGAGAAGCTTTGGCCTCGTCAATTTATGTTTGTTGTGATATAGTGTAAATATCGATATGTTTAGTTCATATTTTCTTAACGATGATACTTGTCTATGTGCAAAGCAAGACACATATATATCCATCTAAATTCAACAATAAAACAATAATGCATAGCATACGACTTTTTATCATAAACAAGTTTGATAAAATATTATATAAAATATATATTGACTATTTTGCCTACTCGAAATGATATCGAAAGCTAAAATTTACGATAGGTAATTTACGTTCCCGCTTATTTTTCACCTGTTGATCTCCTGAATGAATCTAATATATAACATATACATAGTAAGCCGTAACGGAAAAAAATATTTCGGCGAATTCAACATGATGTGAAAAAAGCATATCTAGTATGTAGTACCAGAAAATGTACGCAGATGATTTCAGCATGACATGGAAAACATTATTAATATAAATAGTAAGTAGTAATGTTATGATTTTTGGGCGAGTAGAACTTCGTGTTAAAAACATGCTATATACATTAGTAAACAAAATTATTTGAGCGGATCTAACAATTGACGATATTGTTTTTGAAGAAAAAAACCATTTGGCGGTGTGAAAATATTACCGATTAAAGAAAATAAAACATGATATGGAGATATATTCATTGAATTTACCAATACAGTGCCTTGATTTAACAGCATGTCTTACGTTACGAAATATCACTTATATCAGCCAAACAGGCAATTTATTACAGACAAGCAAAACTAGAGCAGATGTGATTTCTTAAAAAAAAGGGGCAATATTGTAGTCATTTGACTTCTTATATTCATCATTTTCTGTTGCTGCTCCCTTATTTTCTGTATCGCTCAGTTCAGAATAATTGTTGATTTTCTTTATAATATACATGATAATTTAATCATTCAACAACAAAAGAATAATGCATAGAATACGACCTTATTCACGGCAAATTGTGTTAAATCGATGGCTGGCGTGCCTGGGGCGATCCAAGCATGAATAAGATCTCAATAAAACTAATTTTATCTTCTATACTAATAACTATGAACGTTTTTTTCAAAACATGTTCGTTTCGAAACATAAGAGGTACTAATAGGTTTAACAAACGGTCAAAAACGAAATTACATTAAGCTCCATCAACACTAGCACAAAGATATGTGTCAGGTCAGGTATGCGGGATATGTAGCTTTCCTTTCTATCCGTATTTTACATATATTTCGGAATTCTTTAGTCACGGACCTTTTCATTCTTTTGATCTTTAGTAGTCTGCCAGTCCCAACCGTTGTCCGCAGCTTTCTAGCTGGAATTTATTCTTACAATAATATTTCAAGTATGAATCTGATGTATCCTGAAGGTGTTAAACTGTAACGTTGTGAAGGCTTTAGTACGCGTTTCCGTCTTTTCGCGTTATTACACATATGTCTCGAAACCCTTCAATCCTTTTAACTTCACTACCCATAACGTTACAAGTCTTAAATCTCTTTTCGAAAAACAAATTACTGTCTTAAAAAATTCAAGCTATCTGAACGCTGTTGGTTTTTTTTATGACATAGGAGTCACCAAAGCCAATATTTAAATTGACGTTTGTCTTTTACCTTTAAGTTTATTTTGGTCGAGCATTTGTTGACCCTAACGACCTAGTCTGTGTTGAATGGCCGTTAAGGATGTTACAATAATAATAATCTTCACTACCACTGGTACGTACTAAGGGGGTGAGACTGTCAAAGGGTTCAGCAATATGTTTACTTTGTGCGGGTTGCTGCGTCCAAAAGTTGCATCATTTTTTATAATATTTGTGATTATTTTTTCACGAATGGTTAATGGATTATTGGTCATACAAATAGGTGAAAATATTCTGTAAGTAAAATTCTTTTATAATGTAAAATATATCTGTTACTTAGAAAGAATTAATTATACATAAAACTAATTATATGAGTTGTTTTATTTGCCGGTAACAATACATTATTAATGGATGTAATAAAATGCTTAAATAATTATATTTGGCTGACCTGGTAAATACATATTTTAAGATTTTTCAAATTTTCGTTCGCACCATAGTATACCATACAAAATATAGAGCTTGTTTTACAGCAGCAATTGAACAAGTATTTTGCAACCAATATTAATAACATTAATGGTTGTTTTGGACTCGGTTTTAATGAGGGAGGAAAGTGAGATGTAGATATGGCCTATGCGCAGTCGCGAGAGGACAATTTCCTCTCTGCGATCTGCACTGATAAGCAATATAATACATTTATTTAGGATTGTATACGTTTTGGCTTCAAATGCATTGTTTTACTATAAACATATTGATACTGGTCTTTACAGATGTGAACAATGATAACCGTAATCACACGTCAACAATAAACAAGTTGTTTCATTTAAATATTTGCACTCGAAAATTTATCACAGCGATAATGGTGTAAGCCCATCAATCACAAAACACAATGAAAGCTGATTGTTAAGGTTGATTGCCCAACTGGAGGGAACAACACACATTTAGTACTCAAATAGCACTATATAGGTAATAGATGTTCTTTATAGACACATTGGTCCTGAAGACTAGCGAAACTTTCGCTGTATTATTTTTATTCGGTAATGGGTTGACGTGAAACATGTGCAGTTTGACAGAGCCAGTTTCATTCGATGGTTACTCAAAAGTAAATGTGACGCAACAATACAAAGTCCACTTGTCTGGAAGACTACACAATTGCTTTTGACACGAATCGACGATATCGTATTGTTTTGATTTCCCCTATGACGTCATCAATTATGTTAAAACTTGTATGTCGTATTGTTACTGCGCAGCCACCAACAACAAACTTAATCTCATATCACGGAGGCCATTTAACTATTTAATCTATTCCTGAAATGTATTTGTTGCTTGTATATCAAAAAAGTTCACGTGATGAACAAAAACGGAAGATTTATCAGACTTTTTAAATGTTCCGCCGTTTTTTATTTGCAGGCGGAAGTATCCCATTGGCTGTGCACATGTGTAGTCATCGCAACGATGTTGATGGTTTTTGGGCGGTGCGAGGCAGGTATCCTCGACAAATCAGATGAGTCAGAAATAAACTTTCGATCTACAAACATAGAAGGAAGAGAACACGGATATATGCAGGAATCCGAATTCAAACGAGGATTTTGGGACAAACGTGGGTATGGCGACAAAAGAGGATATGGCGACAAGCGGGAGAGTTTTGAGCCGGAAGTTGGCTCCACCGGACTTTTATCCTATTTTAGAAGCGTACTTCCGCTTGTATTGGACACTTACGCAGAGAATGTCGCCATGACGAAAGACAAACAATTGCATCAAAATGACTTAAAGAGAGGTTTCTGGGACAAACGTGGTTATGGCGACAAAAAACGTTCATATCCTCATCTGTCGGGTAGATACTTGAAATTTTAGTTTTCGAGAAAAACTGGTTGAGCTTATTTAGATGTCAATTAAAACAGATGAATAAAAAGATGTAAAATATTAAATCTTTGTTATGATGGTTTTCGTTGAATGTTATAAAACTGGTAACCGATAAAACGGGGCACAGTACTGATTGGATACATTGTGTTTTCAGTAACATTTCAGTCTCCAGTGTTCCAGGCCCCGGATCATGAAACGAACTTAACTCTAAGATTATCTTAAGTATTGACTTTGCCAATTACAGATAACGTCACGAAAAGTGACGTCATTCGTGATTGGCTAAGCAAAACCTTAAGTCTAAGATTATTTTATGATCTCGACGCCTGAACTTCATATGCAAGCTAGTTCCCGTACTTCGTGGGAGAGACTACCGGCGAAATGTACAGAGACAAGTTCTGTATCGGTACGAATGAATTACCGAATACGGAGATATTTTGGATTTGTTCATGGCATTTCTATTGAATTTGCATGGTTTTACATAACTGTCCCACCTATGGAACTGTCTGAAGATATGTGGCACTTACACTCTGCTCATTTCAAGTGCATGAGTACGAGAACAGGGCGTTCTGTGTTAAGCTGAAGTATCTTAAGAATATGTGTATCCATCCCTGCTCTTTCCCCCCGACAAATTTAAAATAATGCTGATATGTGTATCGCCCTATTAACAGCTTAAGTCATTTAGGATGGTGTTTCCGTATGTATAACGTATTTGAATGTGTGTGTGTGTGTGGGGGGGGGGGGGGGGTATATTGGTGTATTGCCTCCCTGCGATAGGTCAGATCTGATGCCAACTTTAGAGTGCTACCTAATAAAATACCATGCCAAAAGCACACAGAATAGTATTCCATCCGGTAAGTTATGCTTGATAACTAGTTGTTACCATTAACCAAAAATTGCTTAACGTTAAGCAGGTAAAACAACTACCATGTTTAAGGACTTTGTATGTCCCGACAAAGGGACAGAACCCACTTGCATCCTCACTTGAGCAAACGTTCAACGCAAAGGCCAAACGTGAGATATTGTCGAAAAGGGCGCTAAATAACATAAACGTTGTTAGGGAATATAGGAAAAATTTAAAGATTTCAAATGTTTCAATCGCTGCAGCAGATGTGTTTTGGTTACTTTAGTGTCCCGAAGTAGACGGCAAAAATGTGAATCTCCAATACTGCAAGGGGTTCCCACATTAGTTGCCTCCTTCGACATGCGGTTGGTAATAACAGCAGGTGTGTTCTTTTCTCAATCCCCGATCATTATGAGTGTATAATCCTACATATCTGTGTGTCATCGGCATTTAATAGAGATAGAGCACGTCATAGCGACAGTCTCCCACCCCCACCTAAATAAAGTTCATAGAAGAATGAACTTGCTCATCCAAATGAGTGCAATCGTAAGTGCCGACTATTTATTGTTTAAATACAATAAACAATCTGTTCCCCTTGGGGAAACAACCTCCATGTCAAACATTCAGTCAACTTGTTCTTGATTTATTTTTCTTATTCAGTTTCGTAGATTTTTGACGATGAATGCAAGTAAACACGAGTAGCGTCCCTTGTGGCGGGACATTGTAAAGGGAATTTCTGTTGGGTGTGCCAAGGTCAAATATGCTAGTATAAATTCTTAAGTCAATATCGTGTTGGTGAAACATTTTGCCTTTTGGCTTAGTTATAATCCTTTTTTTTATAAAAAAAATCTAACCAGTTTAAAGGTATTTTTGTCTTGGAAATAAAAATACTTTCCACAACATTTAAATTAAGTCACAGTTCCAAAGTCAAAATACAGCACATAGTAGCTACATTACTTCATTAATATGTCAATCTGGCAAACAACTAGCCGCTTCCTATACTCTCGGCTAGAAATTCTCCTTAGCGCATTCGGTAGACCATAAGCTAGTAAACAAGAGGTCCCAGGGACAAATAATGATGACCTCTGTTACAAAAAGTTGAAATATATTGATGTATAGATAGCTATTGGAATTGTATACAGAACTTTTATCCGAAACGAAACTTAATTCTGTGTTATATAGTCGACAATATACTATAGGTGTATTAATTCTGGCGGTATTTTTTATTTTAGTAGCTTTCGGGCCACAACTCGTCCGTTTATTTATGTCCACCGCTAAATTTACAATATACATCACAGGCTAGCATACTAGAACATAGAGTTTCACGGTAGAGTAATTCAGAACTAACCTGTATATATATACGTGAAAGTTTTTTTTTGTCTTGAATGCTTCCACGCCGTTCCGTAGTCGTTGTTCTGATATGACCCATACGACCTCTGTGCACCCGGCATGTTCATGTGTTATAGTCTATTTCAGAAAATATCAGTTGTAGCCATTTATAAATGTAAGTGCGCTAATAAGTCGTAACACAATCGTCACGATAAAATGTGATAGTGTTGATATAAGTAGGATTTCGCTATTTTATTATTCATTATCATTATATTAAGGCTGCCTGTTGTAAACTTGTCATAACTTATTTTGTACAACTATCATATTGCAAATATTGTGAATGTTTGTATGTAGCACAAAGACAATTGCAAGAAATAGGAGCATAACTGTCTGTGATGGCGGGAAGGTTTGACCTCTGACTTGTTGATATGAACCCAGCTTGAGGGTTGATATTAACCTGTATATTAGTACAATACCACGCGACCAATTAGCGTTTACTGCCGACCCGGGACTTACTATGTAGACATTTCGAGGACCAAAGTTACTGTCCCACCTGCAATACTTTGATAACATATGCTGACGTGTGACTTTTATACCTCATTCCATGACCACATATATTTCGTTAACAACATATACCGCAGAAACGAAAAGTCCCTCTGTGTTACTGTAACGTGCGGGCGGTCACCCATCCAACTACTGACCACGCTCGACGTTGCTGAACCAGTGAGCTGGTCCCCGGTTTATACCGCATCACCGGAAAAGACATTACAAAATAACTCAGAACCACAAGCATTCTTTGGATTCAATAATCAGCGATTGATTTTCGAGTTTAATTGATGTCATGACCTATAAGTTTAAAATCAATATCTGGTTAAGATATTCAACAAGCATCTTGTTTAAGAAAATTCGACATGTTTGATATAAAACGATCCTTTTCACTGCCGTCCTGCCAACTCGCTTTATGTAATTACTTTCTGTCGACCAGACATATTTCCGACGAGATAAGATAGTGACAATCTGTCTGTCTGTCTCATGTATAAATGTATGTGTGTGTATGAGTATATATGTGGGTGTATTTGTATGTGTTTTATGTTTTTTGTGTATACGTGCTATATGTTTATGCTTGTTTGTAATATTATGTTGTATATGTAATTTGTCAGTGTGTGAAAGAAGTATGTTTTGTGTTCTTGTCCTGTACTCTATTTGCAAATATTTCATTTTCCCATTGCCCTTCCTATTTATTTATTTTATTGTTTGACTGGCATCCCTTATCAAAATATTTATATATGTATAAATATATATATATACGCTTCGATGCAGTATATGTATATACATATTTATGAAAAAATGGCTGGGGGAATAAAATATTTGTAAAAAAATAAATAAAAATAAATAATGACAAACATAAACACTTTCCATGTCCCTCCTATGTCTTTTTCTCTCAGTTTTGTTTTGTGTGCTTCGGATTTGCCGAAAATGTTTGAGAAATCGTTCCCCACTTTAATTTACTATTATATAATAGAAAAACCAATCCATCGACGATATTATATCATATGCGTCTACTAAGTATTTTAGACCAAACTCTTTCCACAAGTAAAACAAGGGAGAAAAAAATTCGTTCATACAAGAAACCAACCTCGATTTCCGGGGGCTACGCTCACTTTCGCTCTATGTAGAGAGCGGGAGCGAGCTTTGCCCCTGAATATCGAGGATGACAAGAAACCAGAAATGGGTTTAGTCTTTGGGAAATTGGATAAAGAAAAGAGACAAAACATATTCTAAATTTTTTGTTTATTTGATCGACAACATATTGTATAATGTAACAGTTTCCGTAGAACATATACACCGATAAGTAATATAATATACTAGTTATTGTGACAGAAATGACGAGTTATATATGTCGCTCGTCACTTCAATCTCCATATGAACAATGAGCATGACTTATTGATAAAAAAAAACTCAACTGAATAAGGATTTATTAGCATAAAGGTATTGTAAAGTCATTCACCTTATCGTTTAAACGAAGGGGGATAACTCTGGGTAGGTTTATAAGGTTTCATTTTCATTGCTTTGAAAAAGAAAGTTAAAGGGAGATAACTCGGTGAATCTTAAGGCCTATATGCTATGCGATACATCAACCAAAGACGAGCTATTTCACAAAGTCAACGATGATCCATACTCTATCTCTCTCTCAATGACATGGCAGTGCATATTGGGATCAATCTTATGATTTAAAATAAATTAGCACAATATGAGTGACATTTAAAAAAGAAAATGCTGAAAGAACGAAGAATAAATAAGTAAGTATGTAACTATTACTGAAAAACGTTAATCGTCCCCGGACAACTAAACTCTTCATCTCTCTAATACAAACAGTTCATATATCCAAATACTTATTTTAAACTATTCATGTCAAATAATGATTTTACAAGTAAGACACAACAACACTGGCTTTGTAACTAAGCAACAATACATTTTACACGGATTTGTCAACGTCATAATATATCGTGCTCATCCGGAAGACCATGTGACATTGTCCGGAAAATAACGAGTGTAGTACGGAAAAAGACGAACGCTGGAATGAAATATTGTCTTAAACTTGGTACATCGTAACCGAACAGGTAACCTGTTATGATACACAACATTACGAAATCGTGTCATCATTTCCTCACTTGATCTTAACTGAAATGGTAGCTAGCCTCATACACTTCCTTTAAATGGTCTTATCTGGCGTCGTTTACCCTCGGAAAGTTTTGATCCTGACCATGACGTTGATAAATCGTCTAATGTCTATTTCTTTATTCTCGTTTGCACCATTCCTGAGGAATTGTTCTAATTCGGGGTCAGTAAGTACACGACCGGACATAGTCTTCACCTCTTTCATTTCTTCCCAGGTGCGATCCATGTCCACGTTACCAGAACCATCTGACCTTTGCACTTTGTTGAAGAGTCCGATGACCTCATGCACGCTGATGAAAAAAGAGAAAGGAAAATTATTCACAACAAATTCACGATATACAAAAGAGCGCCGGAATATCATATACTTCTATACCGAAGTGTCACCACACAGGGATAAGAAAATGGGTATTTTTTTTTTACCGGGGAGGTATTCTACACTGAGGATAAAATAAAATAAATAAATAAATATACAACATTTGATATAGCGCCCTATCTAGCTAACATAAGCCACTCTAAAGCGCTTTACAGTACATAGATATACAATTTTATACAGTCAATACAATTAGCATACATATATTAATCAATTAATCAGGATATTGGCTACATGATTTTATTTTCTATCATGAATATGGGCTGATTGCTGGCCGTAGTTTCGCTACTCTCCGACAGGGCTGCGCTCTGAGTAAGGTCAAGTTCACCGTGTCTTTGCTCTAACATGACAGACATACTTTCATGCACTTTTTACCGGAGGTACCATGATGATGCGACATGTGGTGTCGAAATAAACGTGGGAACCATATGTGGTGCCGCAATCAATGTGTATGTTGGTGTTTTTATTTTGTGTATGGGAGTGTTCGATGGAGTTAGGGGTTGTTAATACATTATGCATGTAGAAAACACAATATTTATTTGGAATGAAATGTAAAACATAACTCGTACGAGTACCTACCTAGTTCCGAGTGTGGCATAGAACTGTTGGTATTCCCAGATACTGAGTTCTCCGTTCTTATCAATATCGAATATGTCGAACATGAGACTGGCGTGGTCATCTGAAAGCTTGTAATCGGTTACAAACATTTTTACTGCTTCCGGTTTCTTTAACCTCATCACGTAGTTATGTGTGTATTTATTGAACACTGCCTGGGCTTCTTTTCTGTAACAAAATCATAAAAGTAAGTTTAAGGATATAGGCTATTTGACTGTGATACGAATCTCCTCTACAAAATATTTCCATGTTCACGGCATCCTATAAATTATTCCTTATTATTGGTTAATCTTTTTATCCTGGAATGAGTCATACAACTATAGGTATGGGGTCGCCTGCCCGATCAAGCAGGTTTTCTCCGGCTTCTCTGGTCTCCTTCCACATTAAGACCCCCACACCCTCGTTTACCACCGGGCCAACAAGAGTGATTGAAAAAAACTTGAAATAACTTGTTTCATAGTTGTTGTAAAACAAATTAAGTACCTTTACACAACTTTAGCCACTTTGCACTATAAGACACTGCCAACGTTAACGACACGAAGGGAGCTAACTCTAACACAAACTGTATCGCATATTGTGTAAGGTAACATACGCCTTTAAAGAAGGCATTGGTGTGTAATTTCTTGGTTGAGCATATGAACTTTAAAACCACCGCGTCATTACACGAGGAACACATCTAAACAAAATGAAAACATCGGGAACATGGGACAAAAATTGGTGTTTTCCAGGAGCGGGCGAGTTTCTTGCGCCTTATATGGAAATAATACATTTTGTGTCATTTTAAACCGATAACTGATTTTAGACACAGTAGATCAAGAATAAAACCCAGTCATATTCGTCTCAGGAAAAACGGCAACATTATTTTGAACATGTATGGAAAATTACAATTTGTCAACTAAAAGACACCTTTGATAATCGGTGACTGGATGGTGGGACAACTAGATAAGTGGTGGCTGGATGGTGGGACAATCAGATTAGTGGTGACTGGATAGTGGGACAATCAGATTAGTGGTGACTGGATAGTGGGACAATCAGATTAGTGGTGACTGGATAGTGGGACAATAAGATTAGTGCTGACTGGATAGTGGGACAATCAGATTAGTTGCGGAATGGATAGTGGGACAATCAGATTAGTGGTGACTGGATAGTGGGACAATCAGATTAGTGGTGACTGGATAGTGGGACAATCAGATTAGTTGCGGGGGGACAATCAGATTAGTGGTGATTGGATAGTGGGACAATCAGATAAGTGGTGACTGGATAGTGGGACAGTCATATTAGTGGTGACTGGATAGTGGGACAGTCATATTAGTGATGAGTGGATAGTGGGACAGCCAGATTAGTGGTTGGTGGATAGTGGGACAGCCAGATTAGTTGTGGGATGGATAGTGGGAGAGTCAGATTAGTGGTGACTGGATAGTGGGACAGTCAGATTAGTTGTGGGATGGATAGTGGGAGAGTCAGATAAGTGGCGGTCGGATTCAGGACGTTCCGTTGTATTACCTGTAGTTACAGGGAGAGAAAGAACATTCCTTTTGTGATCCTTTTAGTACTTCGATAGCCATATTAGGTAGTACGATGCTTACGTCACATATACACACCACATTTGTAAATAAAATCCAGAAAAAAAGTAGGCTGTGTAATACTTTACGTAGACACCAGATTAAAGGATGGTATTACTTCTACAATCGTAATCTGTTATTTTAACGCGAGGAATGGTGTACATTAAGAAATAGTTCGGTAACAAAAATGCCTCGTAGGCTTAAATATAATGTTTGATATGTAAAATACGTTATGCTGACGTTGTTAGTTTACAAATACAAAAAATATTTGTAATTAAATGTATCTAATAAGTAAAAGGAGAAAACACAACAGATCAATTATTGAATATATCACACATGTTTGTCTATGGATTTAAACATTAACTATTTTCACGGTCATTTGTGTCAGGAAATAAAAATATAAAGTTGTATTAATGCCCCTCTAAAGCTGACCATACTTTTGATCTGCAACAGCTGGGAATGTCTTTAAAAGTCTTTAGGTAGAAAATGATGGGTAAATACCTTCCCTACCTGGCAGTGACAAGATACCACAGGGTCAGCATCCGATTACACAGGTAATTATTATAATGAGGAATACCTGATCCTCCAAGATATCGTCTTACCTGTGCTCGCTTACCTCCAAATAGTTGTACTAAGGTAGATTTTCTGTGTGTTTATCAACTATATTGTTGAGAAGGAAGGGTCGTATTTCAAATACAATTCCCCTTCATTTTATTATTTTGTTTCGGTTTGTATTCATTTATACAGATTCGCGTTGCTATATAAACGTTTACGTATGCAGATGGTACGTAAGAGATCTGAAGAGCATCTTTTAAGTAGATCAAATGAAGGTCACTTTACAACGTATAAAAATAAATTAATGTCGCTTTTGTCTTGTTTTATACAACAGTCTGATATATGTTATAAACGTTGGGGGTCTTAATGGACATTTAGTATTCATAATTTATTAGAGTAGAGAAGAACTTAACACATGAACACAACATAACCATCATATGGCTTAGGGGGTTCTACGATTTATAGTTATATTCAAATAAGAAACACGAGAAACTCGGCAACATAGAGTTCATGTCTTTTCAGTGTCATAATAGAAAACATCTTCTACGTGGCTAGTAAAATATATTATAACAATTTCAAAAATACGAGGATATTCATCAAAACCAGATGACATGTTCAAAGGATTTGGCACAGGAAATGATTACCCTCCCGGAATATACCTGTGTCCGTGATACAAGCTTGATTAAAATTAATTAACAAACCATCTTCACTTAATGTCACTCCACGCTATACTACACCGTTAAAGCGGAATTCTGACACCCTAAAATTTACTTTCAAAGGATGAAAAATAGTTTAGATCCATTTCTTGTCTATCCAGTTAGTTATTCTGAAAAAAAACACACGCCCAGACTACTGCTGTTTCATAATCCATATAATTTACCTGATTGTGTTACAAATAGGCGAACTCAAAACCTAATGTTATGTCGCCAAGCATATAGTTTCACGAAGTAGCAAGTAAAAAAAAAAAAAAACACAAGCAAAATAATAAAACCTTACAGGATCTGATAAGCAGTTTTGATAATTAATGTTCACTTAGCGTTTAAATTGCCTTCGTGTTCTTACAGTTTACACGTACATATACGATGTCAGATACTTATCACCGGTCTGACATTGATGCATTTTTTTGTGTTTTACGACACTGATATATGAGACAAACATCCTTCGCTAAAACAACTCAGGTCCCCTTACATAGAATCTTAAAATGACACACAGAAACGTGAACATCGCAATCTTTTTAAAGTAAATTTCTGATTTTGTCTTTGTGTTTTGACGCTCTATATTTTGTCCCTGCGTGCTGACCCTGTAGTATATTTTGCCCCTGAGTGTTGACCCTATAGTATATTTTGTCCTGACCCGTGGAATATTTTGTCCCTGCGTGTTGACCCTGTAGTATATTTTGTCCCTGTGTGTAAACCCTGTAAAATGTTTTGTCCCTGCGTGTAAACCCTGTAATATGTTTTGTCCTCACCTTTGGAATATTCTGTCCCTGCGTGTTAACCCTGTTGTGTAATGTGTACTGATGCTGTGGAATATTTGTGTTGACAATGATATTATTTATATAATAAAGCTGCAGTAATATTTTTCTTGTGTATTGAGTGCATTATATAAACAATGTTTCCCATCGAGCGAGAGGGGGGTGGGGGAGGGAGGGGGCAATGCATCTGCCACTGCCAACATAATTGACAGTTTAACTCATAAACATTGATATACAGTGTATTACTTGATGCCCGAGGCGATGACGCGTTGTTTATTATTGTGTAATACTATAAAATGCCTCGTAAATTTCTATATAATTATGACTCGGTATCTAGGCCCGCGTAGAAATAACACCGCTTACGTGCTTTGAATGCAAGACCGTTTTGCATGTCATAAACGGGCGAAAGCTTTTCATTATGCTTGGTTTTAACAGTTTACCTCAAAGTGTCTAAAATTACACCACGTCTATGTAAGGAAAATACATAAAAACAAGAAGATAAAGTATGCAAGGCAAATATTTATGCGTTGAAAACTACACGGTTAAATTATAAATCATTTACTTACAGTGAATTGCATCTTAACATAAAAAACGGTACGAAACACTGTAAAATAATTTCATTTAAATTGCAGACGAAAGAAAGAGAGGTCTTTTCGCAAAGATACAGAATACTGAGTCATTTCAGTTAAAAAAAATATATATAAATAATAGCGGTCCTTTGTTTATTTATGTACTTTGGTATTAAAAATGAATACAGACCCCACTTTTGTAAATAGCGTAAGACCTCCACAGATCGTTTTTAAGAGACGATATAAACAGACATTTCTTGTATATAACTATCCATTGTACAAATATTAACAATACCACTTTATTTGGAGACGGGTCTGAATTCTGAAATCTAAACCACATTTATAGACAAAGTTGTCGCGACTTTTAAATCATGACGATTCAATAAAATCAGTGAGGTATATACATATCAATATAAAGGCCACATTCATCCTAACAAAATTATTTTACAATTATAAAGCTGAAAGTGTCTGAAGGAACATTTATAGGTGAGCTAGTATTTGTGCTGATATATATATATATAACTCTGAACCATATGGTTCGTTTTCATTGTACTGCAATTGGTTCTTTAAAAGTCTATACCACAATCTTATATATGTGTATTGTAGTATAGTGGAAACCCAATTTACAAATTACAAATTACTACAAATTTGCTAATTAACATAAGAAAGCGTTTTTTTCAACAGGTCTTATTAATCACGTGCCATCTTGGGCTCGTCATTATCGTACTTGCAGATCTAGAGGATTACGTCACAATCGGGAACCGTCGGCACTTTCCGTAAACGAGAAAAATATTTTCTCGTTTACGGAAAGTGTTGACGGTTCCCGATTAGATAACGTCATATATATATCCCAATCCAATTTGTCCTAGTGTGTAAGTTAATGCTGATTGCTTCGTCATCTGACTAACATAATAATTATGTGAAGGACATTCTCATGTAGCTATTCATATTCCATTCCTTGATTAATCACTTGACCGAGTAATAATAACTTGATTATCATCTGTTAAT